GAAGTACCCCTACCAGCCCACATGGCATTGCAAATGCTATCCCTCCTATTAGACATGCCAGTGGAGTCCTGGGACAGCATGTCTCCCACAGCCTGAGTTTCATCACCCTCAGGCTGGTTGCCTAGGAAGCCCTCCTCTTCTGGCACCACTTCATCCATGCCAAACCTAATGATCCAATTATGGAGAATATAACAGGCCAGTACAAACTTCACTTAAGTCTTGTATGTGTGGAAATGTTTATTGTCTAGGATACAAAATCTATTCTTGAGTGCACCAAAAGCTCTCTCTCCACTGTCACCCTAAGGGATGAATGCCTTGGGTTGAACAGTTCCCTAGCATTGGTAGGATAATTGTGGCTCCCAAATTTATATAAGTGGTACCTCACCCCCTATAGGGAGGGAGGAAACCAGTGCGGCAAGCATAGCCAGCATCTACCAGGTAAAACTTTCCTACAAGTGGACCAAAAGATATACTACAGTGAAGGTGTGTGGCAAGTTAAAGGACAAAAGTGTATGGACTATTAATTTGAGTTACCTTCCGGAACTATGAACCCATCATTCCTATCAATTGCATCAGCAAGAATGAGTATATCATGGGCAGAGCCCTCCTAGCCAGCTAGGACATAGGTGAACTTGAGATCAAAGTCCACAACAGCCATCACATTTTTTGTGGGGTTATGTTTCCTACCCCTAAAAGCCTGCTGCATGTGTCTAGGCACCCTTGTCAACACATGTGTGCCATCAATGGCACCAACATAGTCCTAAAAATGTGTAGGATAGTGGATAAGTGCAAACACAACAATTGGTTAAACCCAAGGCAGATAAACATGATTAACAAGTACCTGCATATATGGGTACCATCTCTGGCTACCCATGATTTTTGGATATGTGGCAGTGGTAGGAGGCTTGATCATTTCATTCCTAAACTCACCAACAGCATAGAGAACTTGGTGGAAGACTCTATTAACTATCTCAATGGACCTCCTAAAAGACTGGTGAACTACCTTGAACGTCTGGTTATGACCAACAACATGGAGGAACATTGCAACCTGCTCCTCAACAGAACATCCACTGGTTTCTCTAATAAGGCCTCTACCTCTAAAAAGGTTGCATAGAGCAAAAAAATGGAGCTCTGGTCATATGCAACATAGCCAAACACTCAACATCAGTGTTGTTAAATATCATTTGGAGGGTGGATAGCCTATGCTGCTGGCTTAATGACCTAGGACCATAAGGAATAGGCTCTAGCTGGGCCCTAATTCTTCTCAGTCTAGTAACCAAAAATAAAAGCATAACCACAACCATGGCAGCTGCTTGCCTGGCCATCATCTCACGTTGTACAGTTGGATCCATGTACATGCATTCAACATTCAAAGATACAACTCGGCTATAGTAGACCCTGGCTGGTCTCAACATAAAAGTGCAATCATTCATATCAAAAGCTAACAACACGGCTGCATAAAAAGAATGCCTCCAATGCATTGGACATAATCATCATCGACCATGAAAGAATTAACACTTCAGTATACAGTGGACAGATTCATCATCGACCATATGAAAAGTACCAACAATGCAACATAAATGTTTCAGTGCTCGAAATCAACATTCATAACAACTACACAAGCATCATGTACCCAAACAATCATTCCACAAAGACAAATCGAAATCAAAATAGGACAACAGGAAATCCTAGAATGAAAGCAAAGGGGATTTGAGGAGGATTTCACCTCGGGGGAGTCGACAGAGACAGGAAGAAGCGCAAGACGGAGAAGAAGAAGAGCCGCAGTGGAAGCAGAAGTAGATCCGGTACGAGACGAAGCAGATCGACCCCAACCAAGACCAGCCGCACCACCGAAGGAGGAAAAAGACGAAGGAGGAAGACGACCGCGTCCACGGAGCCCAGCAGGAGGCGCAACAGCGCCACGGCCAAGCGGATCCCGACCGCCTGAATGACGACGAAGACCGGAGAGGAAGAAGCCCGCCGCGCCGCGCCGCACCACCACCACACCAACACCACCGGTCACTCAACGCGAACGCAGTGGGGGAGATAGAGCTGGAGGAGGGAGAAGAAGGCAGCGAGGGAGGAGGGTGGTATATAAAGGCAGCGGATTTCGATGAGGAGGAAGTTTCATGGTTCCCGCGCGAGCCGCCGCCCCGTAATCGCCCGCGCGAGGATGGAGGGAGCCTAGATCCAAAGAAACGAATCCTAGGAGCGTTCCTCCTGATGCAGGAGAGAGAGTGCGTTTTGCACGCGTGAAGTCAGGCCGTCAGCTGGGCCAAGCAAATCAAACAGGCCGGGTTACAGCTGGGGAGCGCCGACCACCCCCTTGGCCCTATATCGGGCCTGAAATGGATCAGGAGCCCAAAGACTACACGCACTGACCGAAACAGGCCAGCCCAACCAACGCTGCGGGCTGCGGCACGCGTGGGGAACAGGGGAAGAAGGGCAGGCAGCTGGCGCTGGGCGGTGACGCTGGCGAGTGGCGACGGGGACGGCGACGATGGCAGTCCGTGGCGGTGGCGATGCCCTGGCCCAGCCCGACCCCTGGTCGACTGATGATGATCTGAAAAGGAGAGGAGGGAGAATGGGGCCGGAGCAAAGTGGCAGCGGTACAGCTACGTACAGCCAGACAAAGGCAGCGGCGGAGTGGGCGTCCCCGCGTCCCGCCGTGCAATGCTCCGCCTCCTCGGTTGGCGTGCAGACGGAGCTTCGGTTGGCGTGCAGACAGAACCTCGGTTGGCGAGCGGTGAGGACAAGCAACAGCAAGGCGAGTCCGAGAGAGGATGTGGCCAATGGCCATACCTGATGCAGCCAGTGTGGGCAGTGCGGCAAAGAAGCCCTGAAGAAGCTGCATACCGTTGGCTCTGTGCCAGCGGCTGAAAGCGATCTGCATTTTGTCTGACATTCTGTGAATTTGGCATTTTTGGGTTCAGAGATCATGTGCACCCCCAGTCCCCTTTTACCACAGGGCGCAGTGGACAGCGGCTGCTTGTGCAGTATTCAAAGTGAGCGAGTAAAGCAGTGGAGGGATTGTTTCAGAGCCAAGATGATCCCATCCCAGGCTTATTATAGCAGAATTGGCCATTTGGATCGTCAGATCATGCTTTCACGGACTGTTCAGGTTTTCGTTTGACCTTGTAACTAGTATTACTAAGCCTGAATCCCAAATCCCAGATGTTCTCATCATCTCCAGTCATAAAATGTGTGCACTATACTGTAAATGATAGATAGACCACTCGTGTTTAATGTCTGCATATTCAATGCTCAGTGCTCAGACAAACCTGTCCGAAGCTGCATATATCAACGCAGCTGAGGGTTCAGAAATTTTGGTTTATGCTGCTTCATGGACAAACTTGTTTGAGAAAAAAAGGTCTCAACATCTATGCAAAAAAAAAAAAAGGCGAGAGAAACGGCTGCATAAATAAATATATGAGCATTTGAAGCATATTGCATATAGAGGACTGATATATGTAGAGAGCACCACAAACTAAGGTCAGAGTATGAACTTTGGTTGCACACTGCAAATCTGGATGTAAACTGTAAAAGAATACAACAGATGCAGACACTTCAGAGTTCAAACTTCTTCAGTTGGAGTACAATATATAAAATTCAAAAATATTTTTGAGCCGTAACATTTCCAAAAAGTTTTAAAAAGAAAAGAAAAATGAAAAAGAAGATCAAAAGTACATTCTTTCAAGTTCCAAGCAAGGGTTAGGAGACTCACGTCCTGCTAAAGGATACAACAACAACAACAACAAAGCCTTTAAGTCCCAAACAAGTTGGGGTAGGCTAGAGTTGAAACCCATCAGAAGCAATCAAGGTTCAGGCACGTGAATAGCTGTCTTCCAAGCACTCCTATCTAAGGCTAAGTCTTTGGGTATATTCTATCCTTTCAAGTCTCCTTTTATTGCCTCTACCCAAGTCAACTTCGGTCTTCCTCTGCCTCTCTTCACGTTACTATCCTGGCTTAGGATTCCACTACGCACCGGTGCCTTTAGGGGTTTCCGTTGCACATGTCCAAACCATCTCAACCGGTGTTGAACAAGCTTTTCTTCAATTGGCGCTACCCCTAATCTATCACGTATATCACCGTTCCGAACTCGATCCCTTCTTGTATGACCGCAAATCCAACGCAACATACGCATTTCCGTGACACTTAGCTGTTGAACATGTCGCCTTTTCGTAGACCAACATTCTGCACCATACAACATAGCAGGTCTAATCACGTCCTGCTAAAGGATACCTTTCCAAATTGGCCAATTGCTGCCCCATTCTGTATCTTTGAAAATGATCCTACTGCATTTTACTTTCTGGGTAGTATATGCCAGCCTGCAACTGCAACAATTCCCATGAAGCATTTAATATTCAGAGTGGTTCAAATATTCCAAGATTTCTCTGAATAGAACCTTGCACACACCAAAATTGAATCCTGTACTTTACAGCAAACTACAGAGAGAAACGGGAACTCAGGTAATTTTTTTCTACCAACTGATGACATGGCAAACAGGGTTAAGCCAGCTACAAGTTGCTCCTCATAAGCAGTAAGTTTCTAGGTTGCTACTTTGCTGCCACTCCTAGAGAATGAACCAAGCCAAATTTTCCAACACCATGTAAAGGCTCATGGAAGTCACAGCAACAAGATAAGAGCCTGTGAACTTCTCACAGAGGTGGTCACGAGCAGGATCAGTGCCCCTGCTGTGGTTAAGCACCAAATGAGCAAGAACTGAAATTGAACCACCAACATTTTACAGAGAGTGGTTTTGGTCTTTACAAAGGACAGAGATGGGCAAAAGTAAAAGATTCAGCATGTTCACTTCAAAAACCCTTCCTCCATTTCATAAATAATCTGCTTTCTACCGTTCCCTTCCCTTTTAGTTTTAGATAAGGCTAACTCCATGCTAGAGTCTATACAACGATTAAGTCGCAGTTCCTATTTGTGCCTTTTATTTGGATATGTTTGTTTTGCTGCCAGCTTCCTGATCTGTTCAACGAATGATGGCTCAAGATACAGCTGTGTAGTTTTTGTGAATTTCCTGGATTGAATTCAAGAAATGTACTTAGCAGTTAGTATTAGAAGGTTAAAGAAGCAACACTTTTTTATTAGATGGGATTCTGACCTGGTAAGCTTTCAACAGATTTCTCCACTTGTCCTGAACCATGAAACAATACAAGAGTATCATATTAGCCAATAGCATCTAAGAATGAATTTACTTCATAGTGCAATGCACTACTAATATACTTCACCTTAAGATTTACTGATGTCCTAATTGACGTTTCGAAAAATTGCTGCTTCAACAAGGCCCATCGTCCAACACCAAATTTAGAGACACCTTGTACCAGTATCTCCACTTCTTTAGCAGTCCACCGGCTATTATTTTTCCTCCTTGTGTACTCCCTACTAACACGACTTTTAAAGAACATCGGGTTCTGTCAAACAACCAAAAGTCATGTAAAATTTCTCAGCTGATGGGTGATAGGCTAAGAAAGAATCTGAAAACAAAGAGGGTGCAATGAAAATATTAAATTTATTTTTTCAGACACTCTGTGACAACCAAATGAAATTTGGTTACCTGAAAATTATATTGTACTTTTTTATCCAAACAATATATATTAGCTGTTTTTGTTTATTTAATCATGGAGAAAAATAATTAATAAATTCTCCAAAGCAGATACACATACTTTTCTCAAGCATTTGTACGCAAGCAACTTTTTTCATCACTTTTTGGTTTCTTCTTTTGTTAGTTCAATTAAAGGGATGTTCTCACAATAAACTTATGCGTACCCATGGAGACGTCCTCCTCTTCCGAGTTCCTCTTCGCCACTTCTCCTACATTTTGTCTGCCATGAAAAATTGACTGTCAATACCTTATCTCGTCCACTTTATCTAGCATGTTAAAAGTTCACTTGTGCAAAAATCTACCAGGTGGTTAAAGTTTAAACATCTGAATATCTATTTGATAAATTTGACAACCATACCTGATAATGGGCATTTGTGTCCAACAATGGAGATGGATGCAAATCACCTGCAAGAAAAGTTCTATAAATGTTCCTCCAAGCCATAATGCCATAATGGTATTTATCATGTGTAAGGAACCTTGGGAATTGTCAGTAACAGCTAAACATTGCACATACCTGACAACCAATCATTTAGGTTTGCCTGATCTTGGGGCCCTTCCAGCAGTTGTAGGATCAAAACGTCATCCTCATCGCGTGCTCCAAAATTCTCTATCTGTAAGAAACATAACGTCAATATTGATTGCCCTGTTCCTTTGTTTTACAACATATGAAATTTTACAGACGTGTTGATGAGAGACTCATGGGTCTATTTATTTTACTAGTGATGAAGATGATCATCCAGAAATTTCACTCAATGTAACTAAAGGATGTCCAGACTTAACATGCTGTAGAATGTGCCTTCGCAAATCAAACGTGAACCTTCTGCAGGTAATCTTTAGTAGAAGATGGCTATTCTCAAGAATTGGAGGCTGATCTACCAGGATGGCCAACTGCACCTATTCCAAGCAGGTGCGGCAGCAGGTAGAGGTCTGATCAGGAGAGCAAGGATTGAAGCAAAACCAACATTCATCAAGGATCAAAACTGGTGGACACACTTGAACACAGTGCATGGGACATACAGCAGGAAAGTTTTCTATGGAATCTAAACGTGCACAAATCATAGTATACACAACTTGGAATCTATGGAAGGAGCGATTCAGGCGAGTTTTCGACAACAAAGCTACCGATGTACAGCGTCTGCTGGATTCAATAAAAGATGGCATTCAGTCGTTTCAAATGGCAAGAGAGGACCCTGAATGGCTGAATAGCTTCTCATAGTTACAGGCCTTGGATGGCTGTAGCTATTTATGTTTACATTTCTTTAATGTCCTTTTTTTATTTCACTTTTCTGTTCAGACTATCTTTGTTGTACAGTTTGTTAACTGCTTCCTACTGAATGAAAAGGCAGAGTCCCTGCCAATCTTGCTAAAAAAAAAAAAAACTACCAGGATGTATTGTTACAACAGATGGATCTTGTTATTGGACTTCTGGAGATCAAGGTGACACAAGTGTTCCTGTTTAGATTGTATACCCTGATTTCGTGCAGGGTGTTTTTTCAGAGTTTGAGAGATACTGGTCTGAAGATTTGAGATTAAAAAAAAAACTGACTTTTTGAAACAAATGACACCAGTCGGCGGTGGCCTCCCTGCACCAATTTTTTTTTCACAAATGACTACAGGCAGAGATTAGTAAAAAGGTGCCAACTTTGATGCTTGGTTGCATTCATCCAACAACAGAAAAAAAATCCAATTTTCGCCCAGATTCAGCTGGCGACCAACGGATAAGTGTAATAGAGGAGGCGATCCTCGTTACCTGTAGTCCGCGGGGGCTGCCACTCGCGATGCTGAGCAGCAGATCGCCAAGAAAGCCATAGGGTCCCTGCTCCGCTTGTTCAATCGGCGCCCAAAACATCTCCGGATCTTCCAACGGCTGTCCATAAATCTGAATCGCCTGCTGCTCCATCAGCGATCAAAAAAAAAAAAAAAGCTCTGGGAAGAAACCGTGGAGAAAATGAGAAATCAAAAGTTGCAAGGAGTAGCAACGCGGCGAGGAAACTCAGAGAATAGATAAATCGGTCCTTTTATCTGCTTATCGCTGCGCATCGATTACCTACCAGCGGTCCGATAGGCGTCCTGGTAAGGAGATGAGAGGAGCGAAGAGCGGCGAGGAGGCGCCCGGAAGCCGCGTCGGAGGCGAGAGGGAGGCACGGCGGAGAGAGCCGAGGCTGCTGTGGCCTATTGGAGCGGAGGAAAGCATGCTAATATAAAGAAGGCAGGAAGCCGGACTTAAACTTCACTGCTGCTGCTGGGGTGGATAACATAGTTACTAGGACCGACTGGAGATTGAACGTGCGAAGCCGTCGGTTCACTGGTTTAACGGTTTAGAACCTGTTGTACCGTCGGTTCACTAGACAAGTTAAATCGAACCGATCACAAATACATTGAACCGACATATATGTATATACTATAATTAATAATTGATAAATGGTAAACAACACGATTTAATCATACAACCATAAGGTTCGTACATATGCAGAGAATAACATGTTCTTAAATTCAAAACATACAAGCTCCACAAGTTTCAGTGCTCTATAGTTGTTTTATAATATATATATATATATATATATATATATAAATGAAAAGATAATACATGGAGCACTTATGAATTAGTGAAAAAGGACTTGAATAGTAATTCAAATATTTACCATTACAAAACAATCTTAAATGTTAAAATAAAGTGCACTATTGCAAAGAGCTCGTTGAGATAATCAAAACGGATATATTATTTGACTAATTTGGAGCTGATATGATAAAGATATAAATTCTTGAATTTTAAAAGGCACTGACGTCAGCGCATGTTGAGTTGTGATCCAAATTCAGTCATATACAAGATAAAGGCTAACTTCTGACGGAGCGAAGCGAGGCCCGTCGCCGGGAGGCTTGAGCCAAAGCGAATGGTCTTTTAAATGAACCGGACCGGTTTAGGCTTTGATTCGATCTTTTAGCGGTCTGACTATCGGTCCGGTCCGATCCTAATAATTACGGTGAATAATGTGTGGCATCTGGAACTTCACCGCCTGTTCAGTATCCATATTTACAGCCGCAGCCACTTCGGTTAGGAATGCAACACTCAAGATACTGTAGAAACAGTGGTAAACACGTTGCTGCCAACAGTACTAGTATATTATGGTAGAGTTGGTGGAGTTCGCTCAAACAGTAGTAGTATAAAGTAGTTTTAGTACATTGAAGATATATAAGAATCTTTAGGACATGATGTTTCGGTATCTCTCTGCACGGTAGAACATATTTAAACCGACAAATATGTTTACCTGATTGTTTTGAGGGTGGAATGATAAATCATTTGATTAATGAAATATAGATGCACAATACAAATTAAGTGTTGAATATGTTTTGCTGATCACATTTGGTTGGACTAGGAAAACAATGAACTTTGATGTTGTCTGTGCGAAATGTGGCGAACAAGTAAATATTTATAGTTTTGCCATGTGGTGTGATCGGATATGGTCTAGCACTCAATGACACAGGATTTATACTGGTTCAGGCAACAGGCCCTACGTCCAGTTAAGGTCGGTCGGTGACTTTATTCCTGAGCCTAGGTGCTCGAAGTTTGCTGTGGGGTTACAAACGAGTAAGGAATGAGAAGGGGGTGTTAGAGGTTCGGTCGGACTCTGAGCCGAGTGGCAGAGAGTGACGGATGCTCAAACGTGCGCTAAGTATCGGAGCGTATGCTCTGTGTGTTCGAGCTTATCAGCTGTTGAGAGCGTGTAGATTGTGTAGATGTCGAGCTCTAGAGCCGTTGTGCTATTGTCCTCGAGTTGTCGAGTCTTCGGGGGGTTCGAAGCTCCTGTCCTTTTGGTAGGAGAGAGCGTATCCCCTTTTATAATTGAAGGGGATGGCCTTACAAGTCAAAGAGAAAGAGAGAGTTCATACGGGCGCTGCCTAGTCTTGTTGCCCACGTCATCGGGTACGGGATGGCCGTCGGTGCCCATAATACTGTTTATGTTCAGACGCGTCTGGTAGGCTCTACCATGTTCTCTTGGTATAGCAAACGATGGCGCCCACAATACTGTTTATGATCTGACGTGTCTGGCAGGCTCTACCGTGTTCGCCTGACATGCCCCGATGGCACCGTCCTGCGGGTGCGCAGGGCATGGCATGGTACGGTCCTCGGTATTGCGGTTGACTTGAGCGCCTTACCTTATCTGCTCCGCCTGCTCCCCGGGCCCACACCAAGCGGGCGTCCTTGGTCAGTCGTTCTTAGTCGGCCCTGACCGTGTCGGTTGGGAAAGAGCAACGAGTAGAGGTCCAGTGTATCCTCGGTCGGAGAAAGGGGGTTGGAGTCGGATTGCGGTCCCACCTCGGCCAGGCCTTCCGGTCGAGAACCGGATCGTTGTCTTGGCCTGTCATTATGTATCTGGGTCGGCCCAGGTGCGTGCTGTCGCTGCACTGCCTACCGGGCCAGGTTTTGCGGGGAAGCGGATCCATTGGGGACCCCGGATTTATGAACCTGACAGGAGCCCCCGAGCCCCTTTGGGACTTTTGTGAAGCCGTGAAGGGGCTGTTCACAAACGTTTCACGTGATATTGTAAAAGCCAGGGCTTGTGTTTTTAGCTTAATGAAAGCTTGTATTCGCTTTGTAATTCCTGTACCCATTGTGCCGTGGAGGCGGGCTGTTTATTGGAACTTCGGTGATTTTCCCCTTGGTTTGTTGTACTACATAGGGTAACCGAGTAGGATTTAGGCGCCCAGCCTCCATGTGGAGGACTGGCAAAGGCCGTAGAGGTGCGTAGAGTGGATACGGGCGCCCAGCCTCCGTGGGGAGGACTAGCGAAGGCCGTGGAGGCATGCCGGAGGGACATTGGTGCCCAGCCCCTGAGGAGGAGACTCGCTGGTAATTCGTTTTCCGCCGGGTGCACGCGAGCGCACCCAGTGGGTGTTGCCCCTGAGCCTGCGGCCGATTGGGGAGACGGTCAGAGACTGAGCACCATGGTACTCTTTTCAGGGCTGCGGACTCTTGTGTCTCTTCCGATCGGGGTGTTCGCCCGTGTTCGTTCCGACCGCAACCTGTGCGGTCGGTCGGGTTCCTAAGTTGAGACCTGGCAGCGCCTCCACGGCAGGGGTCGGTCGAGATCGGTCGCATGGTTTCCTACGTCACCCCGTCCGTGGTTTCCACAACCAAAGGGGTTGAGCTAACGTCACTTGCCCTGATGGCTCGAGTGACGAGCTTCGGTGAGCTTGCTAACGGGTATGTTCGAGTGGAATCCGGATCCATTGTGCGTGACGGGGTCGGCATAGCCCTCATGTGGCACTCCACTTCTCCTTAACCTGCTTCCTATCAGATGCCCGAGTCATTCCAAAGAGCGACTCAGGTGGCCCGATGGCCTGCCCTCGATGGAGATTCTGTGGGAATGGCTCGAGGTCAGGATCGAACGAGAAGGTTGAGATGACCCTGTCTGCTCTTGAGTGGGTCAGACGAGGGCCGCTAGGGCTCATCTATGTTTTCTCCCCTAGCTCCGTTTGACACGAGGCAGACTCGAGCCGTTCATGGGCTGGCCTTCGAACCCCGGTCGGTCGCCGCTCATATCGAATGAGACGACTCCCGCTTCGTGACGCGACGCAAAGCGTTGTGATGCATCAATTGCATATGCAATGCTTCGCTGTATGGGATGAATGTATGGATGAATATATGACTGAATGTATGAATGCATGCATGAGAATGGATGAATGTACGAATGCATGCATGAGAATGGATGAATGTATGCTCATGCACTGGGAAAGTAAAATGGGGGTAGGTAAAGTTACCTCGATGGCTGGAGTGACGGGTTTGGGGAGCTTCTATCTGATATGTCTAAGTGGAATCCGGGTCCGTCGTTCATGACAGAGTCAGCATAACCCGTATGGGGCATTCCACTGCTCCTTACCTGTCTCCTGGCAGCTGCCTGAGCTATCTAATCGACTCGGGTGACCTGCTGGCCTCTCCTTGATAGAGATTCCATCGGTGGGCCCCTCCAAACCCTGCCTAGGAAGGTGAAGGGTCATTTGTGTGTGGTTGGCCTCATTTCCCATGCCCGGGTTGTGGTAGTGGTGGGCCCTGCCCAGGCCACGTCCCATTAGCCAGGCGATGTTCCATCGGATAGGCCACGTCCTGTCAGCTAGGGTCACGTCCCGCCGCACGCCTTTCTGCATTAAATAGGGGGAAGAGGGAGGGTTTTCCTCCTGTTCTTTTGCCTTTCTTTAACCATTGCCATTTCTTCTTCCTCCTTTTTGTCAAGCTTGTTTGTGTGCCGTGGCAGTTTCTAGGAGAGAGGAGAGCAGAGCGAGGGAGAGGAAAAACTCATAGATTTGTTCGTAAATCCGAGGTGCGATGTCGAACTAGAGGCCTTCCAACGTGGATGAGGCCGTGCTGGCCGACTTCACCGTGAAGGGGCTGCTTCCATCAAAGGAGGTGGCGCACTGGAGGGCTCCTGCATCGGGGGAGGTTGTTCTGTGACCTTGGGCCAATGAGGTCGTCTCCTTCCTCGCCTTCCACGAGCGCGGGCTCGGGTACCCCACGCATTGGTTTCACACTCATAGATTTGCAGTCCCTCCCCTACTAGTCGTGGAGGTGAAGAGGAGGGAAACTGGCCTCCCTGTCTCGCTCAACGGAGGAGCACATGGTTCGCCCACCTGGTCAGAGCTAGAGGGGTCCAGAGGAGCCGTGGCCAGGCCTAAGGTAGAGCAGCCATCGGTGAGCCATGGAATCCTAGCGGTGGACATCCCCTTCGATGGCGAGGAAGACACCGGGATAGAGCCGCCAGCCATCCCGCCATCCCGAGAGTTGGTGATGATCTGGTCGTCGCTTGATACTACAATGGCTTGATCTTCCAGTGGGTCAGGGGCGACCCACGAGCTAGTGTGGCCTTGCCTCGGTGAGCTGGGAAAGGCCTGGTTCATCCTTCATGA